GGAGTGTTGGCCTCCTAAAAATATAAAAACTCAAACAAAGTTAAACGTCTACTATTAATAACTTGTTTATATATGATAGTATTTGTGTTAACTTACATTATTTATTGTCGCTGTCGCATATGGTATTAAGTCTTCCCAATCTAACAGACGTTTACTCTTCCAGGAAATAGCCCTAGGAATATCATTTGAAGTTTTTAATGCATATGTCTGCATGCTGGGAAAAGCCTCGAATCTACAAACAATATAATAACAAACATTAGTAATTGTTAAATAATTAATTATAATTTTGAAAACATTATATACAAATTCTTACCTTAAAGGCCCAAACAAAGCTTGACAAAGTGTATTTCGACCCATTGCCACGCAAACTTTTGCGGTCATCAAAGGCAGACGACAACTTAGTCCATGTAGCTTTCTATATATACGAACCCCACGGAAACAGATTCCATGCATTTAGGTCCTCTACCAATAATATTAGCTCCTGAGGAATAGGTTGTCTGGCCTCTCTGCCTAAAAAGCTGGCATACAAAAGTACTAGAAGGCATACTCGGACAACATCGACGTCATTCATCCGAGTAAAACCATCTTTCTTATTAAACAATTTCTTCAGGTCGTCGACGTGTAAGTTCGGCTTCTCTATTGACTCATCAGGAAAAACCCGGGATAACCATGATGGGCGGGTGATATGACGAGTGTACCGGCCTATATCATCGTGTCCGAATCGTAGACCAGTGATTAAGCAGAACTCCTTCCGCCCAAAACAAGTATACGCCGGTAGAAAATGAAACCATATCTCTTCCTCACCACGTTGTATACCGTCGGGTAGATCGCTAGTCATAGTCTGAAGCCATAAATGGGTCAAATTAGTATCTCCACCCGGATGTTGTACTCTCAGCCATGGCCCGAAGCAGGTTTCCTCAAACAATTTTCTTTGTGCAGGTGAAAGCTTCGAAGCAATTGTAGTGGCTAGGCTAACTTTATTCCTTAATGTCAATGAAGCCGAAAAAAATTTCTACAAAAACAATAAACATACCAAGTTAGATATACCAAAAACTACACTGTGAAGATATACCAAAAACAATAAACATAAAGAGTAGTAGTTTATTCTTAAAACTAAAATTTGCAACACTGTTTTGTCTTTTGGTTGAAATGAAAATCGCAACGAGAGAATGACTATCGCAACGAGAGAATCGCAACGCGAAATGAAAATCGCAATGCGATTTTGGTTTCGCGTTGCGATAGTCATTTCTCTCGTTGCGATAGTCATTTTCATGTTGCGCTTTTCATTTTCATGTTGCGATTTTAAGTTTAGAAACTATTCTTCTTCTGTAAATTGAAACTTTAATGGATTGCATTACTTCAACCAAAAGACAAAACAAAGACAAATACTAACTTCACAGGGTTAAAGATTAAACAGTTTAGCAGTATTGGCAGCAATCGAATGAATTTAATAAGAAATCTAACTGAAATGGTTAATCTATTATTGAAATTACCAGTAAACTTATCATCAATTTCAATATGAAAAACTTAAAATAATGCAAAAATTTCAAAATAAAAATAATTAAAAAAACTAACCCTCGGAGGTTGATTTTCCATTTCTGAATGATTGTGGGGGATTTCTGACCGTGAATGGTTGTGAGAGATTTCGCCGGAGATGGGGACGGAAATCTTCGGAGATGGGGACGGATTTCGTTGTAGAGAGTGAGAGATGGAGATGGGACTGAGTTGTGATTTTAGGTTTTAGGTTATGAGTTGCGATTACGGGATATACTGTGGACGGTTCAGTGTTCCGATAATTAATATTCGTGTTTGGAATTTGAAAATAAAATACGCGTAGCGATTCTAATGGCGCTTTAAAAATCGCGTTGCGATTTATGGATACGTTGCGTTTCGATTTTTGTCGCGATTTACGGATACGCATTGCGATTTACGTATTCTCGTTGCGATTTACAGATACGCGTTGCGATTTACGTATTCTCGTTGCAATTTACGGATACGCGTTGTGATTTTACGTATTGTCGTTGCGATTTACGGATACACATTGCGATTTTACGGATACTCATTGCGATAGTCAGAATCGCGTTACGATTTATATGTTAGCGTTGCGATTTTCATATTCACGTTGCGATTCTGGAAAATCGCAATGCGAATTTGTACTATCGCATTGCGATTCTTCATAATCGCGTTGCGATTCTGGGAACTGATTTGCGATTCTGGAGATCGCGTTGCGATTTTTATTTCGCATTGCGATTTTGTTGGTCATTTTGGCAAATCCAAAAAAAGTTGGTTAAAATCGTATATTATAAGGCATTTTTGGTTACTGAGGCGATTTTTTCTTTCTTTTATCCAGTCCTGTTTGAACCCTTAACCCTGAGGAGGCTGATTGGTTTTACACTCCCGTATACACTACATGTGACCTAACACCAAATGGCCTCCCTTTGCCATTTAAGTCACCACGAATGATGAGAAGCGCAATACAGCTTATTTCTTCGAATTGGCCTTATTGGAACCGGACAGAAGGGGCTGATCACTTCTTCCTTGTGCCACATGACTTTGGAGCATGCTTCCATTATCAAGTATTTCCCATTATTCTCCATTTCCTGCACTATCCTCTATGATAATCAGCACATTTTCCAACTGAATGTTATTTGGTTTTTGTTTTCTGGATCTTTTATTTAGAATATATCTTACCTATGCACATATGTTGTTGCAGGAGGAGAAAGCTATTGAAAGAGGGATTCTTCCCTTACTCCAACGAGCCACACTGGTTCAGACTTTTGGACAGCGGAATCATGTTTGCCTGAAAGAGGGATCAATCACAATTCCACCATATGCTCCACCCCAGAAAATGCAAACACTCCTGATTCCTGAAAAAACTCCTAGGTCCATTTTTGTTTACTTCCGTGGGCTGTTTTATGATGTTGGAAATGACCCTGAAGGTGGTTACTATGCAAGATATGTCTCACTAAGCTGACTTGTTACTAGACTGGTGGTTGAACAATAAAAGGTCTTTATTTTTCTTATGAAATGTAAATAGAAGAAAAGTTGTCGGGATAAAATACGGTTGCCACATCACGTTAACCTGAGATGTTATGTTGCTGAAAACATTTACAGAGCCATGTAGAAGTTGCCACATGTCAGAATGAAGATGATTGAATGAAGCTTTTTTTTCAATGCTATGTATGCTATTTATGGATGCTTGCCCTAAGATAAATGTCAACCTAGACACCCAAGTTCAACTTGTCCAACAAATTTGCAGGGGAGCTTGAGCTTGAGCGGCAGTATGGGAGAACTTCAAGGACAACCCACTCTTTGACATTTCGACTGAGCACCCAACTACATACTATGAGGATAAGCAACGAGCTGTTTTTTGTTTGTGCCCTCTTGGGTGGGCACCTTGGAGCCCTAGATTGGTTGAAGCAGTGATATTTGGATGCATTCCGGTTATTATAGCAGATGACATTGTTCTACCCTTTGCTGATGCAATTCCGTGGGAAGAAATCGGTGTTTTTGTTGACGAGAAGGATGTCCCCAACTTTGACACGATACTCACGTTAATCCCACCTGAAGTAATTTTAAGAAAGCAAAGATTGCTTTCCAACCCTTCAATGAAGCAGGCAATGTTATTTCCCCAACCCTCTCAACCCGGAGATGCTTTCCATCAAGTTTTGAATGGACTTGGTCGTAAGTTACCGCATGACAGGAGCGTGTACTTGAAACCTGAGAAAAGGTCTTGAATTGGACCGCTGGCCCCATCGGTGACCTGAAACCTTGGTAGCAGTTGTAACATCAAATTCCTAAAACATTATAGCATTCAGCTCAGTCGACCAAGGGTTAATCTGTGTAATGGAAATGCATTAGAATATTGGTCTGTTTTGGCAGCTTTAGCAATGCGATTGTTCTTTGTATGATATTCAGAATCAATGATTCGCCAATCTTTTAATTCATTCAATGAACTGGATCAGACAGTATAGGTCGATAATGAATATTGATCTGATGTCGGAACTTTAGATAGGTGCAAACCAAGTATTCTTTTATCAGCAAGAAAATGTAAATAACCACACACCAACTTTGCAATTACTCCATTGGATGGTCTACTCTCAATCCCAGCATTCATCAAATCTGAATTTCTTCCACTCAATGTTCATGATACTAGGGAGAAGCTGAAATTTCACTCACTTTCTGATATAAACATTATAATTTTTCAATCCTTTATGTTTAGAATTTTTATGAATTTTACCCCTAAAACTTATAAAGAAAATTATTTTTCAATCCTTTATAGTTTTTTAGGTATTAAATTGACAAAAACTACAAAGTAGAGGGACTAGAACGAGACTTCTAAAATAAAATTAGGAAAAGAGGAAGAAAAAGTGGGTAGGGAATTAGCTTGTGTGGGGAGCATGAAAGCCACGCTTCCACGTATTTTCTCCAAACTACACTAATTCATCAATCTTATCTTCTTCCTCTCAACTCTTCTTTTCCAATCCTTTCACAAATCAAACAGCAGCTCGAAGCAAACAGAAAGAATCAAAACAAAAGCCAGAGCAGATATGCAAATGGCGCTTCAGGCACCCACACTATCCTTTAAAACAGCTAATTCTCCACTTGCTCCTTGTTAGAAATAAGTTGTAATTAGTTAGTTTGTTAAATCCGTTTTGAGTTGTTATTGGGTTGTTATATTTGGGCTATAAAATACTCTAGTTTAGTTTGTAATTGACAGAAGTTATAGTTACAATAAAAAATACTTTTAGAGCTTTCCTCTTTCACTTTCTTAATCTCCGGTATCTAAATCCAAACACCCACAATTGCCGTTCTTCAACTTAGACCACCGACTTTTCATCACTCTCAGCTTCCATGGCTGATTTCTCACATGGTATCATTCGCCGAACGGTTCAGGAGCCATAGTAACTGCTTCTGCCGCCGTTAATAACCGTATCTCAGAGCTTTTGATGGTCTTGCTATCGGTCATCCTTCCGACTCAGTTGTGTGTTGTTTGAGTCAAAGATTTGCATCTTGTTTTTTTTTTCATGTTATTGGTTATGGATTGTGATTCATTCGGTTTCCTGCGTTTGTTTGTTGCTGGAATTTTGCTTAGTTTGTTTGGTTGGGGTTTGGATTTTGCTGGAATTTGCTCAAGTTTGCGTCTGTCTCTGTGGTTATTGTCTACCATAAGCCCTCATTTGTTAACAAATTTCGTTGGGGCTTTCGTTTTGTATTCGGTTCGATTCGCTTCAGAATTCTGCATTGTTTCTTTGGTTTCGGCTCAAATTGTTCTCGTTTGCGTTCAAATTCTTGGATGTCTGGTGTGAAGACTACAGGAGGGAAGGGTGAAGACGGACCTAGCTCTTCGTTGGAAAGAGCAAAGGCTGATGACTTTGGGAGATCGATTTCAAAGATTGTCGTGGCGCAGATTTGCGAGAGTGTTGGTTACCAGGGATATAAAGAGTCTGCTTTGGAGGCTCTTGCAGATATCTCGATTTGGTATCCCTGTGACTTGGCGAAAAATGCAAGTTTTCATGCTAATTTAGCTGGTAGGACAGAATGCAATGTGTTTGACATAACGCGGGCTTTAGAAGATTTGGGAGATTCACATGGGTTTCCGGGTGCTTCAGAGACTGGGAATTGTCTTGTAGACTCCTGCATAGTTAAGGGAATAACTCAGTTTGTGGATACGAAAGAGGAAATCCCATTTGCTCAGCCAGTGCCCAAGTTTCCAGTTGTTAGGAACGAGAAGCTGGTTCCTAGTTTCAAGCATATGAATGAAGCCCCGCCTGGAAAGCATATCCCAAGTTGGTTGCCGGCTTTCCCTGATCCCCACACTTATAATCATACACCTATGTGGACTGAGAGAGCATCGAATCCTTGTGCCGATAAGATTGAGCAAGCACGGCGGCAAATAAAGGCTGAGAGGGCTTTGCTGAGGCTGCAACAGAGATTTGTCTTGGTTGTTTGCACAATTCTTCCCAAGGAAGCAATAATTTCCGATAGTATAATATTCTTGTTGATTGGTGATAGTGTGCATGCTTGCTACTGGAAGTCAATGTTGATCATGAGAGGAGAGAAGGTTTGGCATTGGTTGAGCGAGACTTGTGCTTTGCTGAGTTATATGAGTGTTGGTTTCTTATTCCATTTGGGCTTTACTGTTTTTTTTACTTTGGCCACTGTTGAATCATTGGTTTCAATGATTGCTATTGGTTATTGATGTAGGTTTTTCATTTATTGGTTTACATTATTGGTTTGTTTGCTCAAGAACTCTTTGTTTTAGTTTCTTCATGATCTGCTGCTTCTATCACAAGGTAACATGAGACTTGAAAGATTCACAGCCAAGTGTTCATGACAAAAAATCTCTGGGGAGGGTTAAGAGTCTAACAACCTTGCCTTCCTTAACCAGACAAAATACGGTGTTTTCTTGCCCAAGAGAGGCTTCAGATTGCATATGGGAGCTCGAAGCTTAACTGCCTTACTTCCAACAAAAAGAAAGTCTAATAAGTGAGGAGAGGTACAATCCTGAAGAAGGAAGAAAAGTTTTGAAGAAATTCTGGATGAAGATTTTTTTTTTAGAAAAAGAAAAGGAAGATGAGTAAGTCGAAAGAAAGAGTAACACTTTCGATTCTCGTGAATTTTAAAAGAATTTTGGAAAGAACATAATAGAGAATAAAGAAATAATATTTCTTTTTGGGTACCAGCTCGCATTTCATTTAGCAACGTCAAGTAGTTTGGAGAATGTTGAACCAGCCAAGTGGAAAATGTTGAACGAGTCAAGTTTTGAAGCTCAAGAAGGTTGAGAAAGTAGCGAGAATGTTAAAAATAAGTTGTAATTAGTTAATTTGTTAATTTGTTAAATCTATTTTGAGTTGTTATTGGGTTGTTATATTTGGACTATAAAATACCCAAGTTTAATTTGTAATTGACAGAAGTTATAGTTACAATAAAATATACTTTTAGAGCTTTCCTCTTTCACTTTCTTAATCTCCGGTATTTAAATCCAAACACCTACAGTTGCCGTTCTTCAACTTAGACCACCGACCTTTCATCACTCTCAGCTTCCATGGCTGATTTCTCACATGGTATCATTCGTCGAACGGTTCTGGAGCCATAGTAACTGCTTCTGCCGCCGTTAATAACCGTATCTTAGAGCTTTTGATGGTCTTGTTATCGGTTATCCTTCCGACTCAGTTGTGTGTTGTTTGAGTCAAAGATTTGCATCTTGTTTTTTTTTCATGTTATTGGTTAGGGATTGTGATTCGTTCGGTTTTCTGTGTTTGTTTGTTGCTGGAATTTTTCTTAATTTGTTTGGTTGGGGTTTGGAATTTGTTGGAATTTGCTCAAGTTTGCGTCTGTCTCTATGGTTATTGTCGACCATAAGCCCTCATTTGTTAACAAATTTCGTTGGGGCTTTCGTTTTGTATTCGGTTCGATTCGCTTCAGAATCTGGCATTGTTTCTTTGGTTTCGGCTCAAATTGTTCTCGTTTGCGTTCAAATTCTTGGATGTCTGGTGTGGAGACTACAGGAGATACGAGGAAGGGTGAAGACGGTCCTAGCTCTTCGTTGGAAAGAGCAAAAGCTGATGACTTTGGGATATCGATTTCAAAGATTGTCGTGGCGCAGATTTGCGAGAGTGTTGGTTACCAGGGATATAAAGAGTTTGCTTTGGAGGCTCTTACAGATATCTCGATTTGGTATCCCTGTGACTTGGCAAAAAATGCAAGTTTTCATGCTAATTTAGATGGTAGGACAGAATGCGATGTGCTTGACATAACACGGGCTTTAGAAGATTTGGGAGATTCACATGGGTTTCCGGGTGCTTCAGAGACTGGGAATTGTCTTGTAGACTCCTGGATAGTTAAGGAAATAACTCAGTTTATGGATACGAAAGAGGAAATCCCATTTGCTCAGCCAGTGCCCAAGTTTCCAGTTGTTAGGAACGAGAAGCTGGTTCCTAGTTTCAAGCATATGAATGAAGCCCCGCCTGGAAAGCATATCCCAAGTTGGTTGCCGGCTTTTCCTGATCCCCACACTTATAATCATACACCTATGTGGACTGAGAGGGCATCGAATCCTTGTGCCGATAAGATTGAGCAAGCACGGCGGCAAATAAAGGCTGAGAGGGCTTTGCTGAGGCTGCAACAGAGATTTGTCTTGGTTGTTTGCACAATTCTTCCCAAGGAAGCAATAATTTCCGATAGTATAATATTCTTGTTGATTGGTGATAGTGTGCATGCTTGCTACTGGATGTCAATGTTGATCATGAGAGGATAGAAGGTTTGGCATTGGTTGAGCGAGACTTGTGCTTTGCTGAGTTATATGAGTGTTGGTTTCTTACTCCATTTGGGCTTTACTGGTTTTTTTTACATTGGCCACTGTTGAATCATTGGTTTCAATTATTGCTATTGGTTGTTGATTTAGGTTTTTCATTTCTTGGTTTACATTATTGGTTTGTTTGCTCAAGAACTCTTTGTTTTAGTTTCTTCATGATCTGCTGCTTCTATCACAAGGTAACATGAGACTTGAAAGCTTCACAGCCAAGTGTTCATGACAGAAAATCTCTGGGGAGGGTTAAGAGTCTAACAACCTTGCCTTCCTTAACCAGACAAAATACGGTGTTTTCTTGCCCAAGAGAGGCTTCAGATTGCATATGGGAGCTCGAAGCTTAACCGCCTTACTTCCAACAAAAAGAAAGTCTAATAAGTGAGGAGAGGTACAGTCCTGAAGAAGGAAGAAAAGTTTTGAAGAAATTCTGGATGAAGATTTTTTTTTTAGAAAAAGAAAAGGAAGGTGAGTAAGTAGAACGAAAAAAAGAAAAGGAAGGTGAGTAAGTAGAATGAAAGAAAGAGTAACACTTTCGATTCTCGATAGACCGCCTAGTTAAGGGAAAATGAATTTTAAAAGAATTTTGGAAAGAACATAATAGAGAATAAAGAAATAATATTTCTTTTTGGGTACCAGCTCGCATTTCATTTAGTACTTCAACGTCAAGTAGTTTGGAGAATGTTGAACCAGCCAAGTGGAGAATGTTGAACGAGTCAAGTTTTGAAGCTCAAGAAGGTTGAGAAAGTAGGGAGAATGTTAAAAATAAGTTGTAATTAGTTACTTTGTTAAATCTGTTTTGAGTTGTTATATTTGGACTATAAAATACCCAAGTTTAATTTGTAATTGACAGAAGTTATAGTTACAATAAAAAATACTTTTAGAGCTTTCCTCTTTCACTTTCTTAATCTCTGGTATTTAAATCCAAACACTTACAGTTGTTCTTCAACTTAGACCACCGACCTTTCATCACTCTCAACCTCCATGGCTGCTTTCTCACACTCCTACACCCAATGCCGGCCTCCGTGCACCATATGATCGCTTTGCTTTGAAATCGCCTTTCTTTTCTCCATCGCTTCATCTCTTGCTTCCTTCTCGTCTTCCCACTAACACTGTTTCAACTGCAACAAGGTTTTCCAAGCGTGTGGCTTCCAAGCAAGCTTATATTTACCGTGATTGCCGGTACACACCTCCCTGTTTTGATCTTATTAATTGCCACTTCAGTTCTTGAATTTATTTATCCTTTGGACGATTGTTGCAGGTATATATATAATGAGAGGACTCCCTTTGAGAAAGTTCCTGATAGTTATTGTCCTGGTAAGTTTCCAGTTGAGTTGAAACCATTGTTGAATTTTCTTTGTAAACAGAGTTTTAGATATGCAAATGAAAACCCAGATGCTGCATTAGTTTTTACCATTGTTTATCTTTAATGGGATTTCTTTTTGCAGTATGTGGTGCTCCAAAGAGGAGATTCAAGCCATATCAGACAAAGATGTGAGAAAGGCTCGAAAAGAACAATTGAAAAGAGATGAAGCTGTTGGGTAAACTCTCTTAAACAACTTCATTAATCCTTCACCACTACTTGTTAATTTTCTTTGTTCATCGGCCATCTTTTTTGGATGCATGTTGGAAACTAATTCAGGAAGTTGAGATTGTGGTTGGAATTGCTGTACTTGCCGGTTTATACTTTTATCTCAACAATACCGTCGTCGGCTGAATGAAATCGACTAATTTTGTCAAATTTCTAGAATTTACAGGACCATTGTTGTGATTTGGTTATATTTCTGTCGAATAGCAATTCAGTTCACCTTTGTTACTTTGAAGCTCACGATTGTAATCTATGGTTATAGTTTTATGTATTGAAATTTTCAGTTGATGAATGTCAATTGGGTGTAAATGAGTCGGATTTAAACGGATAAGATAGTGTCTTTTATGATTATCAGAATGATTAATGACAAACAAAAAATGATCGAACAAAAGAATAAAGAAAAAAAAACTTTCACTAAGTCGAAAAATACAATATTTGTTACAACTGTTGCGTTACAAAACCAAAATCCCTGTTTTCTATTGATAGGGGTCAAAAAAATATACAATTTCTTACTAATTGGGTCACAACTTTAGTAATTTCTATGTTCGTTTATTTATTTTTAAAGATGTTAAAATTTAATTTATATTCATTTAAATTTTTTTATATCATGATCGTTTGTTTATTTTTGAAGGTGTTTTTGACATGTTTGTTTAATTGTAGACATATTTATTTATATAATTAAAAAATAGTCAATAAAAGAGTTTATAAACTATCTAATAAACGAGTTTATTCGTGAACATAAACGATATGAATATACCTCTATTTATTAAATGAACATAAAAATTTTATTTATTCTCGTTTATTTAATTTAATTAATGAAAAATTCATTGAAGTTTAGGTTAATTTACACATAAATTTCAACAAGAAAAAGAAAACATTTGTTAATCAAACTGAGGAAACAACCAAGGATCAATCGAGGGCAAAGAAAACGTAGAAATCCCAGAAAATTTATTCCAAGTATGAAAAAAACAATAATCACAGCGCCATGGAGGCACTGGAAACCCCTCTCATCAGCTTCACAAGGAGACGACCGATCATTCCCAAAGATCCAATCACAGCTTGTTTCCTCTTCTCTTCATCTTCCTTGAAACAGTAAACAGGAGCCTGCCATTCAGAATCCTCAAGAACAGCTCCCACATCAAATGTCATTACATGAGCAGTGTACCCTGCACTCTCCATAAAAGTTTCCAATGTTTCTCACAAACAATCAAATGAATGGACTTTAAATTCTTTAAAAATACGTTTTAAAAAAAACAATTTAAATAGAATCAAGGGAAGTCGTGGAACTAATACCAGTGTAAAACGCCCAGTAAACAGGTCGCTTAGTGATTACATCTTCATAGTACCAAATGAAGTCGACTTTCTCCCACACATTGCAAAGGAACCCATCTTTGTGTTGTTGGCCTAAGTAATTAGCTCCGTCGAGCCAATTCGGGCGGAGAACACCGACATCGAAGTGCAAAACTCTGCATTCTTTGTTGGTGTAGATAAAGGAAGTGCCGTTGTCCCATTCCAGGTCGTAAGTGAGCTTACCTAGCTGGTTCTGGATAATGTTGAAATTGCGGCCATTAGGCCAGTCGTACCAGAGATCAACTTTCTGGAGAGTGCCGCTGTTGTTCATGAAGAGAGCGGAGTGGAATTGAAGAGGCCATGTCGATGGCGTTGGGTCCTTGGGTTTCGATGAGAATGCTGAGAAATGGAATGAAATGAATACAAGGAAGACGAAGATGGGTTTAACTGCAGAAGCCATTAAAAAGGGTGAAGCTGATGAAGGAAAAGAACAGCAAACAGATATAAAGATAATGGAGAAAGGATTAGAAATTTGAGGTCGGCAGTTACCTTCAAAAAGTAGCTTTATAAATAAAAACAAAACCACGGATAAATCTATCATAACACTGAAATGCAATCTATTCAAAACCTAGTGAATTCAGCATCCACACATCTCAGGTCCCGTTGAAGGTGCTGAAGTATTCTTAGATCATTCAGATCGATTCTAATTGCATATAATTATGTTGTTTAATAAAAGTAAATTTTCTGTTTGAAAATTATTTGTTTTGTAATTTTTTGAATTAGTCTATCAATATATCGAATATCAGTGATTAATTAAAAAATAATATTCTATAAAAAATATATTATATTTTGAAATTCTAACTAAATTCAACATTATAAATTAATTTAGACATTAATTCATACGAAAATTATGATTATTATCATTAATTTTTTTTAAAATAGTCTAAGTTGATTATAATGCAATATATGTTTAGAATTTTATTAATCAATTGATAGTATACACACCTTACAAATAGTCAGATACAACTGTTTAAATCTAAAACTTCTAACGAGAATAATATTTTCCTTATTATTGAGATCACTTAATAATTTTTTATTATATTTTAATTGAAAGTGCTTGAAAGTTGTAAATTAAAACTAACATCTATTCATGCACTTATTGAGAGATAAATATGAAACACACACCTTATTTTTTGTGTTGGGAAGGCATCATCATTTAAGGTGATGTTTACTACAATTATGATTGAGTTGTTCTATGTTATAATTTTCTTGGATTGTCTTAAAAAAAAGTGTCATGGTACCTAAATCACATTGACAAATACGTTTAATAAAATTTTAATGAGTTAAATGAAAATTATTCTGAAGAGTAGATATAATCATTAATACATATTTATATTTTTCGAATCATAAAGATCTTAATATCTGCTAAATTTTACAATCAAGTGCATATAATATAATTATAGCATCTTGTAAATTTTAGAAAAACATTAATATTTTAGTTGGAAATAGATAATTTAAATAAAAAAACGACTACTCCATAAAAGTATTATTGATAAATACTCGCTCATATTATATATATTATGCGTCTTTCTCGAGTCATAGTTCAATCTGATAGCGTTCAACCTATACAACTTTTCTCGACTACTAACTCTGGCACTAGTCACATTCCTCTCGTTCCAGCAATTAATCAACTATGTGTTCGTGACTGGGTTTTTCAGCTCCAACGGATTCCACTATTAAGAAATCTACGTAAAGCTCGTAACAACGAGAAAGCTACTTTGTTATTTCATACACTAGAATTCTGATTATACAGATGATTACACAGCCTTTATAGCATATGTTGTTGCACGACTATCTTGCAGAACTAAGTAGGTTATGCTTAACTGAAATACTAACCACCTAACTACACTTCAACAATCATCTAACCATGCAACTAACAATGCACATGTTGGATCTGCTTCATGCTTTATTCAGTACTCGTGAGACCTACTTCATTCCCAATATTCTCCCTGCTTCTTCCAAGTTCCTTCTACATGTTAACAAGACAACACACAAACCTTTTCGCAAAAGTCTTCAAACACAACCTTGGTTAGCGGTTTCGCTAGACCATCATCCACTTGACAACTGGATGGAACATAGCTAACACGAAGATGACGAGCAAACACCTTCGCACGGACGAAGTGGTTATCTAGATTAACATGCTTCGAACGTGCATGATAAAGAGGATTCACGCTCAACGCCACAACACTGGTATTATCACACCAAATAACAGGTTCACTGCAAACGTCCATCTTTAGATCACCTAATAGAGCACCAACCCAAGTAACATCAGCACAACATCAACTATGCTACGATATTCAGCCTCCATCGTGGATCGAGACATTGTTCGTTGCTTCTTCGAGCTCTAAGCAACAAGACAACGACCTACAAACACACCATAACTAGACATAGACCGACGATCACCAGTATCATCACCCTGTCAGCATCAACAAAGACTGTGATTTTCAATCCAGTAGCATCAGGGAAGAAAACTAGATGACGATCGAGCGGGCCAACCAGATGACAAAGAATCATCTTGACAGCCACAAGATGAGCAGCACATGGAGCATGCATAAACTATGTGACTTTGTTTACACTAAATGCCACATCCGAGTGAGTATGACAAACATTAAGTAGAGCCTCAACAATACTACCGCTAGAATTAACAAGCAGATCATCAGATTACTCTAACAACTTGGATGCAACCACCATTGGTGCATGTAGGTGTGGGTGTGGCCTTGAGCATGTTTGTTATTTTTTTTAGGAAGTAGGTAAGAGGGCCAAGATCTTTTAGCGAAAATTGACCGTGGAGAGCTTGAATAACACCATCAATCTCAGCATGTAAGTATGATATCATCCACATAAACCAAAATATGCGCGCACACACCGTTCCTTCTTTGTATGAACAACGACGTATCAACTATCGTGGCTTCAAACCCAAGCTCAAGCAGGTTACTTTTTAGTTTGTCATGCCAGTTTCTCGGTGCCTGTCGAAGACCATACGTGCCTTATGGAGTTTACACACTAGAGTAGAACCATCCGAGCCATATTCTTCAAATCCAGGCGGCTGTTGCATGAATACCTCTTCACTTAGATCACCATTTAAAAAGGCATTGTTAACATCTAGTTGCCTCAACGACCAACCCTTGGTAACTGTCATGGCAAAGAGTACATACACAGTTGAAAATTTAACAACAAGGTTGAATGTTTGGACAAAATCTTGACTACCACCTGAGAGTATCCCTTTGCCACTAACCTAGCCTTGTAACGATGAACTGAGCCGTCAGGATTCTTTTTGAGTTTGAACAACCACTTACAACCCACAATATTACGACCTTTAGGAACCTCAACAAGCGTCTATGTGTTATTCTGCTTGAGAGCATTAAACTCAACATAAGTCATCTCAGTTCGTTTCAAAGACTAAAAAGCTTCACCTATAGTGGCTGGTATATCAGTATCCATGCATGCCATGTGAACTTTGGGCTTAAAAATACCACATTTGCTACGAGTCATCATAAGATACCGATTAGTTCCCAACACATCAATCAATTAATCAGATTGAACACCAACACCCTCATCTGAACAAGCAGTAGTAATAACGTCAATTTGTGAGACATCCGAGTTGCGGGCAGAACCATCAACAACCATTTGATCTTCTAATGCCACAGAATGAACCGGGGAGGCAACAATAGTCTCTGCATGAACACTAATGTCAGCAGGAGCATGAGCAGGAGTTGGAGTGATGTGGTTATCAAGCTTGTGCATATCAATCACAACCTTAAGTGATTGAGGCACCATTGAATAATCAATCCAACGCTTACCCAACCTTGTCTTGGCAAAAGGAAAGTGTCATTCATCAAACGTAACAGGCTTTGACACAAACACACAACCATCAACACCAAGACATTTAGACCCTTTATGACAAGGGTTGATTCCTAAAAACGTGAGTGGCTGAGACTGAAACTCTAGCTTGTGTCGATTAAAAGGCCTTAAATATGGAAAACAATGACACCCAAACACCCTAAGTATGATGTAATCTGATTTATTCCCAAAAAACTTCTCAAACGAAGACACATCATGAATAACCTTTGTTGGTACTCGATTGATGAGGTAATCGACCATAACTGCAGCATAAGCCCAAAATTGAATGGGTAACGACGCCTAAGGAAGCAACACAAGAGCAATCTCCATAATGTGCATGTGTTCCCTTTCAACAACACCATTCTACTTCGAGGTATGTAAGAGAGACGATGAATAATACCAGCCTTAGTGAGTTCTTGAGACAAATCACGATACTCCCCTCCCCAATCACTCTGAGCAACAACAATTTCAGAACCAAATTTAGTTCTAACATATTGTTGAAACAAACGAAACGCATGAATAACTTGAGACTTGTCAGTTAGCAAGTAGATCCATATATGATGAGTGCAAGCATCTACAAAACTCACATCATATCGAGAGTTTTTTAACACAAAATGGGAAGGACCCCATAAATCAGTAAACACTAACTGAAACGGAGAATCATAAGACGTAGTAGAACTAGAAAATGATAATTTAGGGCTATTTCCCATATGACAAGCAACACAAACTTTATTAACATCTTTTAAAATTTTTACATCAATTATATTGCATACATTTTATAAAGTTACGGGAGCAGATGCCTCATCCTACGATGCCATAGCTCATACAGATCATCCGAGCTCACCGAGAGGAGAATCATAAGACGTAGTAGAACTAGAAAATGATAATTTAGGGCTATTTCCCATATGACAAGCAACACAAACTTTATTAACATCTTTTAAAATTTTTACATCAATTATATTGCATACATTTTATAAAGTTACGGGAGCAGGATGCCTCATCCTACGATGCCATAGCTCATACAGATCATCCGAGCTCACCGAGACCAATACTTCAGTAGAACCATAACCACCTAACATATCATCAAAAACAAAGGAATACAAGCCATTTCACTCATGTCCTCTTAGCAAGGCCTCACCAGACGCTTCATCACGAACATAACAACGTTTGGTATAAAACTCAAAGAATATTGCATTATCCCTAGCAAGCTTCGAAACAGAGAGAAAATTTTTGGTTATCTTTGGAACATGCAACAAGTCATTTAGCACCAAAGCACGAGAAGATGAAAATAATTTAGAATGAACAATAACATTAACGTATAGGGAAACCCCATTACCCACAACTAATTTACCTGGGCCATTAAAATACGTTTAATGCAATACATTCACAACATCGAGAGTTACGTGATGCGTGGCTTCAGAATCGACCACCCAATGATCTCGTGTAGCAGTGACAACGTATGCTTGTGAAAAAAAACTTGTATTTCATTCAGCTTAAGATCGAGAACAACATACACAATCTGCATATACATCTTCAAGATTAACATAATGAGCACCAACTGATCTCTCCTTAGAATGATATATATTGTCATTAACAAGTCCAGTAAATCTTTCATCAAATCGATACCAATAAATAGAAACCATATGACCATTCTTGCCACAAAACTGACATTGAATCTGTGAATGACCACGACCTCATCCAAGAGATCTGCCACCAGAATCTTACTGAGAGAACCTTCGATCTTGATGATCATGGCGAGTATCATCATTCCTGCTTGTCGACTTATCATGCACAAGATGTGCACTCATCGGTAACAACTCGTCTTGCTCATCAAACCCAGCAAGCTAGCAAGCTGAGTTTTAGCATCTACTAACATAGAACAAATGTTTTCAAAGGGCACATATTCTCACATGGTGGTTATAACAGCCGTAAAAAGCTGATATTCCCTAGGCAGACCCTTCAAAATACTAGCAACATGTTCAACTTGTGAAATAGGACTACCACAAGAATCTAACGCATCACATAACTCTTTAACCTTGGTGTGATACACCCTCATGCTATCACGACCTTTCTTGAGCAAGCAGAGCTTGTAGTGTAAACTCATAACCGCCGTTGCAGATCGATTAGCAAAGAGTCGCTGATAGGTTGGCCAAATGTAGCTCCTCCAGCCACTTCGCCATTCTCCAATTCGATTCTCCCCGCTGGAAGTTGTAGACTTGCTTTCTGCGAATGCCCATTTCTTTACCCAAGCCAATAATATGTAATGTTACCTGATGTACCAGGCCTTTCAATTAAAAATAACTAAATTATTTGATATTGAATATTCAAGCACTCTACATACGTAATGTTCGAACTTGAGACTTCAAAGAATAATCAAAGATGAATCAAAGGGGATGGATGAGTAAAATTACCCCTGAAAATTTTAAATTAATATATATGTTAATTTTTTTAATATTTTCACCCTATAATATTATAAATTTACAAGTTTAACTCTTTAATATAGCATATTGTTTCCATCCAATAGCGATAATTCTTTGACCATGTAAGTAGCGTAGTTCGTACACTTCTTCTACCGTCTTAGACATGACATGTACTTTTTATGTCCACGTGCTTGCTAATGAATTGATTTTCAAGAGGAAAGCGTGGGCATTAAGAAATTCAAACCTTTTCAATTGTGAACGGAAAAGACAATTTCAATCAAAATTTGGTTTTAACACCAACCAAGGAATCCCTTTAATATTAGTTTGCTTCTGAAATTCATTCCACGTCTCCAATCCCAATGTATATAGACGATGACACTTGTACACTTGATATTGTTGATTGCATGACTTTGGTGAATGCTGATCCCACGATGACCTGCTCCAATATTTTTATTTTGACATGATGGAAAAAGATATTTGTGGGGCCAAATCATTAAGATGTGGAGTAACTATGTTTGGTAAGTCCTCATTAAATAATATTGATGACTTGCCGCTATCAATTTGGTCATTACCGATGACGTACACGTAATTTTATATTAGATAATAAATTTATAAAATTATTAAATAAAATATATATAAAAATCTATATTTTTTCAAAGGATGACAGTCACTACTCACATTAAGTACATCCCTGGTCACGGTCGACAGGCCATTTGCTTGATCAAATCAAGAGGGTGACACATTTCTAGAAGACTATTAACGTCATCGCTTATGCTTGCTGCTTCCATCTTATCCCATATTGCCAAAACAGTTATCCATTCTGATCCTCAAAAAATACGTGGCGAAATCCTGTACGTCTTCTCCGTCTTTGTCTCCACTAGAATAATTTGTATGTATATATACCCACTTACAATAGGTGCGAAATTCCTGGCAGCTAGCGTTCCAAGCCGGTGGTTGGTAATCTCAGTGCAGTTAGGTACGCTTCGGCTTCTCTTTTTAGTTCTTTCCTTTTCTTTTTCATTTCTACTGCTTTCATCGATGGATTTGGTTGTTGCCCCCCAAGATTGCACTTACTTGCTTAAATTTCCAGTATTATATTTGGTTGTTTTTCCAGCTTCGAGGGATGCTTTATTCGTTTCGAACTCGTCTCAGACGTAGAGATTAAAATCTGTCGCCGATTTAACCCGATCCGTTATTGTTTCTGAATTCTGATTCATTTAAAAAACGCCTGGAGAACATCTTTAGTTCCATAATCAAATAAGCAGCCGCGGTCAACCCCCCGTCTGTTGCCATTAAAATCCTTTCATTCTTTCTCATAGTTTTCATCAACTTAACCATCTTGACTCACTTTTCTTGATTTTCCAATAATTTATGTTCTCTTCGTATTTTTCCTCAAATTTTGGTAATAACTATGTTTTTCTACTTTTTTTTTTGTTTCAATTTTGTGTTCACTTTAGATTGTGAATATTGAAGACTCTCTTCCAGCTGCGACTTTATTCACCTCTTATAAATGTTCATATCCTGATGTTATTCTTCGTCGATCAATCATGGGTTTTCACAAAACGAAACCTCACCGGATATTAGACCATCAAATCCATGGCTTCTATCCAGATTTGTTTAATATAAAAAAAATAAAAAGTAAAACGGTGAAGTAGAAGGAAACTACAGGACTAGGTTAGAGATGGGGTGAGAAAAATGAGTGCAAAAATCCTCAAACCCTAATCTGATAAAGATAACAGAGAAAATGAATAGAAATGGATGGGGAAGAAGCCTGAATACTATATATATATATGATAAGATCTATTAATACATTATAAAATTCTTAAAAATTACATTTAGTTGTAAAAATAAATATGACTGAAAATAACTACAATAAATAATATTAGTTCTAAAATTTTAAAAACCAACTTATACTATTAGATTGAGTCAAAATCTATTCGTTTTAGTTTTTTTCTTTATTCTACTTGCACTAAGGGGTGAATTTTTAAATTTTTCAATAGAACCTTTACTCCCTCTTAAACTTTAATAATTCAATTTAACCCCTTTTAGTTTTGTTGTTAATTGATAAAATTTTATTTATGACCCCTTTAAATTTTGTGATTAAGTTTAAATCGTTTTAATACCAATAACAAAATTTTGTTGCTTCTACTTGTGCCTCACAGTATGTTTGTAAATAAAATGAGATATGTTGTAAGCTATTTGAGCTTGACTCAATCAAAGTTTAGTCAACATTCGATTCACATAGGCTCGATTTGAGTTTGAACTCAACTCGAGTAGTTGAAGAGTAGAAACGAACTACTTGATAATTGATTTGAAAAACTTGTGAGAAAGTCGGAAAACAATAAATTCCATTTTAAAAAAATTTAAATAATATTATTAATAATATTAATATTTATATATATTTTAAAAATATAATATAATGTTTTCATATACTTAAGGTTAAGTTGGAGCTCGAGTTTGTAAATCAATCTAGCTTGAGAATGTTTCGAGTTTAATTATTTTCAAGCTTGAGTCAAGTTTGGCAATTTTAATCTCATGAGACTTTGAGTCGAGCTCAGATTTGAACTTTTCATTCGAGTGAAGCTAAAAAATACTCGAACTCGACTCGATTTATTTACATTCTTATTTCAGAGTTTTACCAAAAGTTGTTCATACTGATTTTAGAAATCTTTGAATTTGTTATACGCAATCTTATTACTTCTTGATAATTTATTCCATCCCCGTAAGACTAGCTATTTTCTTATTCTATATTCTTTTTTAGTTCTAATCCATAGACTTTATAATTAACTTGGAAGATATTACATGATTTGGTTTGATTCAAGAGGTTGAAATCACAGGAAAATGGAGAGTTACAATCGAGGATGGCTACTTTTGGTTGGGATTTTGGTGGCACTAAGTGTACCATATTCACAAGCCTTTTGGGGCAATGAAAATAAGATAAACACTGCTGTTTTCTTGTCACCTAAGTTCGTGCTCGGACCGGGATCAGTGGAAGATAGGTTCTATTACAATGTCGACTTCCCGAAAGGTCATATTGCCTTGAAAAGTTTCAATGCAGAAGTGATCGATGAGGCGGGGAATCCTGTTCCATTGCACGAGACGTATCTGCATCATTGGGTTGTTGCTAGGTACTTTGTTCGTAAAGGCGTCGACATATCGGAGTTTGATGACCATGCAAAACTTAACAGTTCGGATTATATTTCTGGGAGAAACAGTGGGATTTGTCCAAATCTTGGCCAGTTCTTCGGCCTCGGGTCTGAGACACGGAAAACCGCAACTCATGTTCCCGATCCATACGGAATAGAATTCGGTAATCCTGCTGAGATTCCTTCCGGGTTTGAGGAGCAATGGATGCTTAACATTCATGCCATCGATACAAGGGGTGTGGAAGACAAGTTGGGATGTACCGAATGCCGTTGTGATCTGTATAATGTTACGGTCGATGGATATGGAAGACCTCTGAGACCAGACTACATAGGAGGTTTGTTATGTTGTTACGATCACACGCAATGCAAGGTGAAACGAGGATTCGAGGGTGTTCGAAGAACCCTTTACCTACGATACACTGTGAAGTGGGTTGATATGGATAGCTCCATCTTGCCTGTTAAAGTTTATATATTTGACATTACCGATACTTGGAAAAGGACTCGAAATTCAACTGGGATTAATGCAGAGCACCAGTGCAAGGTAGACGAATTGTTTACGTGCTGCAGCAAAATTTCTGTTTTGTCAAATTGAATTTCTTATCAAATATTGTCATTGAATATATTTGATGCAGGTGGAATATGATATTGAACCTTGCCATTCGACCGGATTGGGTGACGATGGATGCGTTGATAACAAAAGGATAAGTCTTGACATGCCATTTGGCGGTTATCTCATATATGGTGTTGCACACCAACATTCAGGGGGCATCGGTTCTGCTCTTTATAGAGATGTATGTATGTATTTATGCATGTATGTATGTATATATGTATGTATGGAATCTGATGATGATGAGCTTTGCCTGTTTTCATTTTGATGAATTCAGGATGGCCAAGTTATGTGTTCTTCGCTCCCGACTTACGGGGAGGGAGAAGAACCTGGAAACGAAGCCGGTTACATTGTAGGAATGACCACCTGCTATCCTCAACCGGGAGCCATAGAGATATCTAAAGGGGATACATTGATTTATGAGTCAAATTACAGTAGTATCAAACATCATACGGGAGTAATGGGGCTGTTCTACATTTTGGTTGCGGACCAATTGCCCAAACCAATGCACACCTTGCACACTGTCATTCAAGTAAGATTCCAAGTCCTAAATGATCATACATGATTCACAACTTTGTTTTCTTACCAATGTTAGGCAACTTGCCGTTCGATTTCGTTTAAGGAGCCTTCTTGATTCTTAACAACTTCGATTAAACCTATGATGTTTTTAATGAAACGGTCATCTGATGCAGACACAGGGTACTCTTTCGCTGTTAACAATCCTTTGGGCCGCGGTAGCGATGATCGGTGCGGTAGCTGTTATTGCTGTCGCCTTTCATTATCGACTTAAACGTGAGAGAGAAGATGGCTATGAAGCAATTGGGATATGAATGTGTTTTTATAAGCTCTACACCGTATTGCATCTGAGAATTCCAGTAACTTTGTTGTAAAGTTAGTGATGCATAAAATAAGTGGCTGTGTTTCTTTTACTGTTTACAAGTGAAAGGAGAGGAGTTTGTCAGACCTAGAATCTTATGTCAATTAATACAAGGTTAAGGTGATGTGTTTTAAGTACAGGCTTGGTTTATGATTAGGGGTAAATGAAAGATCGGTTGACTATTTGTTTATGAATGAATTGTTGGTATAATGTTTGTTTATTAAGTTAAATAAATTAGTTTTTATATTAATTTAATAAATGAACGGGTATAAATATAAGTGTGTTCGGTTTATTTATATTTATGAACAAGTTCGTTTATGTTTATGAATAAGTTTATTTATTGACTCATTTATATTTTTGTTTACTTGGTTGTCCTTTTTACTTCAATGTTTTTATATTTTAAATATGGGTTAAGATAGTACTTAAATTGAATATTAAGTGAATTTTGAATTTGAAACTGTTAAAACTAGTGATGCAATTTAACCATTGTTCTTTACGGACAAATAAAAGGATAAAAGCCAAATGTTGGTTGTTGAACATTAAATAAACATTAAAGGAGCACATTTGGAAATGATAAACCAACGAATAAAAATATCTTTAGAAATAAATAAATAAATACGAACATGATATTAAAAATTTGAAAGAACATAAACTGAATATAAATTTAATATATTTTAATGAACAAAAATATAATTTTATTTATTTAAATTCGATTTATTTACGCTCCTATTCGCATCCAACTATAACTAGTTTTGCAGTTTATTTCACTCTGTTGCTGCTTATTTCCACAGCAAACGGTTATCGGAATTTCTTTGCGTTAATGGCTGTTGGCTTTTCCGACCACTCCTCTGCCATTTCTTTCCTTCTTTTTATTATTTTATTTTTTCTGTTAATTGTAGTTTGATTTTCTTAATTTTTAGTAGTATTTTATCATATTTGTAATAATTGTTCTCTTGGCATTTATCTGAGTATCATGATTACTAATGTTTTTAAACTTCCGGTACAGATTTTTTTTATCGGTCTTCTTATTGATGTGTGGTTCTACGAATTTTCTTAATTGCTTGCTTTCAAGATGTGTCATTTCTTTGTTTGTTTGTATTTGATATTTCGATAGTTGTCAAATATCTGGATGAAACTGCAGTTAAAGGAGGGTTGATTTTTCATTCATATGCTTTGGATATTTTTTTAAGTTTTTCTTCTCTATGTTTGGTTCTTGAAAACGTCGAAGTAATTTGTTTTTATATGTCGTTGTCTCAATTGTTCAAGTTTTTGTTTATCAGACTATCACTAATCACTCACTCTTATATTTTATTTATGATAATTATAAATATATTTATCTCATATATATATGACAAGACGTTGTTAATGTTACTTTATTTGACTAACAAATATATTATAATTCTATTTAAAAAAAACTATTACTAGTTTCGCGCGTAAGTATCCAATTTCATTCAACAGGTAAGGACATTGATAATAACGGTCAAATTCGATAAAGATATAGTCCTTAAAATTTACGTAGTTTCTCAATTTGGCTCAAACATTTTTGGGTGAACTATATTATTATCCAACTGATTACTAATATATTTTTATTTTTCTCACAAACTACAACAATTTTCAATTTTGTAATGTTTTCAATTATTTCAACTTTTAATTGTTTCTGATAATGTGACCTTTTAATTGACACATTATTCAATTATTGATATTTAGACACAAATTTCGAAATGCATGTAGAAAGAATCATTTTTCGAGTCTTTTTGACTCGAAATTCAATATACGAGCCTCCAAAACTCTCGGGAAATATCACATAAATTGAGTTTGAAAATGCTCCAAAATGACACCAAATTCAACCTCAAGTCCTTCAATCTCTTCTACACATCAAACACATGTTAACAACTTCAAGCTAACTTTAAACGTAAAGATACACCTTAGGTCCTTAAGCATCACAAAACATGCTAAGCTACCATAAACCCAACATACACAAATATCCAACAACCAATTATATTAAACCTATTCATGAGGCACTTCAAATTAGATGTGTATTACCTCATATTCCAAATAAGATGAAGCCTTAAATTACTTTTTCTTTAACATCGTAAGACTCTCCAGCTTCTTTGGATGCTTCAACATTTTAACTTTAATATTAGTATGTGAAAACAAATTTAGGAAATGCAAGAAGAATCATGGAAGGAACTGGTAGTCTCATCATTGATGGTGTTGATGAGCTCAACTTGGAGCTTAGAGAATGAGACAGAAGCATCTTGGATGAAAGGATAACTACATAAAGTCTGAAGTCTTTAATAAAGCTCTAAGCTTTGAAAATGGAGGAAAATGAGAGCGACAAAGGAGAAAGAAGACGAAGCGACAAAGTTGAAGTCTTTAATATCACCGATTTTTCGTCGTGGTTTGAACATTTTCTTTCTTCAGTTTCTGTCGACCTGCCGTTTTTTTATTTGCAAATAGTCTTCGTCAATGGATACTTCCACACATAAGGTCTTTTTATCCACGCAACATTTGAAATAAAGAAAATAAAATCGTTGTAAACTAACGTCACAGCTTATGTTTGCAATTTTTTATTGTTACCCAGATTCAATATTAGCACTCACATGGAAGTAATCCACTATGAACACAGAAAACACGTGGCAATATCTTATAAGCGTTCTCTGTCTTGTCTGTCTCCTATATGGTATATATATGCATACATGGAATATTCAATTCTACTATAAAAGCGTGTGAAATCTGTGCAAATCAAGACTGGAGTTTTCCAGACAAGAAGTAATCCCAGAACGTTTAGGTACGTTTAGTGTTTTTCTCCTTTGTTCTTCCCTTTTCTGAAGATTAGAAGCTGTGTTTTTTTTGGTTCTTAGGGTTATTTTTCTTTTCATTTGGACTGCTTTCATCCATAGATTTGATGATTTCCAGAATCTGTTTTTTCCTCCCCAGATTGCACTTGTAGTTGGCTTTAATATTTGGGATTTTCTTTTTTCTGACCAAGATTGAATATTTATTTATATCTTCATCATCAAGCATCCATGCACTTGCACCAAGGGGTTTCATTTTCTCAGAATATATTGTTTATACATAATCTTAATCAGTTTTCTGATAATTTATTCAATCCCATAAGACCAAATCTTTTCTTATTCTACTTTCTGTGTTCTAATCCGTGGAATATATCGTTAGCTTAGAAGAGATTATATGGTTGACTCAAGTTGTTCTATTGACAGGGAAATGGCAAATAACAATGAGGCATGGTGGCTTTTGGTTGAATTTTTTCTGATACTAAATTTACCATATTCACAAGCCTTTTGGGGCAATGAAAATAAGATAAACACTGCTGTTTTTTTTATCACCTGAGTTCGTGCTCGGACCGGGATCAGTGGAAAATAGGTTCTATTACAATGTCGACTTTCCGAAAGGTCAAATTGCCTTGAAAAGTTTCAATGCAGAGGTGATTGATGAGGCAGGGAATCCTGTTCCATTGCACGAGACGTATCTGCATCATTGGGTTGTTGCTAGGTACTTTATTCGTAAAGGCGTCAACATATCGGAGTTTGATGACCATGCGAACCTTAACAAGTCGGATTATATTTCTGGGAGAAACAGTGGAGTTTGTCAGAATGAAATGGTTGGCCAGTTCTTTGGCCTTGGGTCTGAGACACGGAAAACTGCAACTCATATTCCCGATCCATACGGAATAGAAGTCGGTAATCCTGCTGAGATCCCTTCAGGGTTTGAGGAGCAATGGATGCTTAACATTCACGCAATCAATACAAGGGGTGCGGAAGACAAGTTGGGATGTACCGAATGCCGTTGTGATCTGTATAATGTTACGGTCGATGAATATGGAAGACCTCTGAGGCCAGACTACATAGGGGGTTTGTTATGTTGTTACGATCACAATGCAAGGTGAAACGAGGATTCGAGGGTGTTCGAAGAACTCTTTACCTACGATACACTGTGAAGTGGGTTGATATGGATAGCTCCGTCTTGCCTGTTAAAGTTTATATATTTGACATTACCGATACTTGGAAAAGGACCCGAAATTCAACTGGGATTAATGCAGAGCACCAGTGCAAGGTAGATGAAGTGTTTACGTGCTGCAGCAAAATTTCTGTTTTGTCAAATTGAATTTCTTATCAAATATTGTCATTGAATATATTTGATGCAGGTGGAATATAATATTGAACCTTGCCATTCGACCGAATTGGGTGACGATGGATGCGTTGATAACAAAAGGATAAGCCTTGACATGCCATTTGGCGGTTATCTCATATATGGTGTTGCACACCAACATTCAGGGGAATCGGTTCTGCTCTTTATAGAGAGGTATGTATCTATGCATGCATGTATGTATATATGTATGTATGGAATCTGATGATTGTGAGCTTTTCCTGTTTTCATTTTGGTGAATTCAGGATGGCCAAGTTATGTGTTCTTCGCTACCGACTTACGGGGAGGGAGAAGAACCTGGAAACGAAGCCTGTTACATTGTTGGAATGACCACCTGCTATCCTCAACCGGGAGCCATAGAGATATCTAGAGGGGAGACTTTGATTTTGGAGTCTAATTACAGTAGAATCACACATCATACGGGAGTAATGGGGCTGTTCTACATTTTGGTTTCAGACCAATTGCCCAAGCCAATGCATACCTTGCACACTGTTATTCAAGTAAGATTCCAATTCTCAAATGGTAAACATTGATGAAAAAAACCATTAATAAAACCAGATGATTATTCATTGTTCACAAATATGTTTACGAATGTTAGGCAACTTGCTGCAGGATTTCATTGCATTCAGACTTTTTGATAATTTTCAACTACAATTAAACCTATGATGTTTTTAACGAAACAATCATCTGTTGCAGACACAGGATAGTATTACGCTGATAACAATCCTTTGGGCGGTGGTAGCTATGATCGGTTTGGTAGCTGTTATCGCTGTCGCCATTCGTCATCGATATAAGCACGGGGGAGAAGATGGCTATGAAGCAATTGGGATGTGAATGTGTTGTAATGAGCTCTGG